CTTCCTTCCTTCCTTCCTTCCTTCCTTCCTTCCTTCCTTCCTTCCTTCCTTCCTTTCTTTCTTTCTTTCTTTCTTTCTTTTCCATTTTGTATTGAAATGGGATCTCATGTGAACTACACTGGCCTTGAAACCACTTTATAGTTGATGACAACCGTGAATTTCTTCTCCTGTCTCCTCTTCCCTGCTCCGATTACAGGTGTGTACTTCCGTGCCTGATTTATGTAGTGCTAGTGATCCAGCCTTTGGCTTCCTGCATTCTGGGCGAGTACACTAGCAAATGAGCCACATCTGTAGGCCCCTCTCTTGCTCTCCTCTCTGATTCAGTGAGAGTCAGCCCTGCGGAGGTCAAAAGTGCTCTTCTCAATATATAAGCTGTCATAAACCCGCCTCTCTGAAATCCTATCCTGACAATTTGAATAAAATGTACTCCAGATTGCATGCCACCACTTAGTGACCCTGTATATGGAATCCTGTTCATGTCTGTGACTTCATCTTGTCTTTTTTGCATCCATTCAGCTGACTGGACTATTTGTAGTAGGGAAGTATCAACTCCCTTTATTGTTCTGTTTTCCACGCTGGAATTTCTGATCTTTCCAGGACAAGACTTCTTGTACTTTAGTTCTTAATGTGCTCTGATATCCCTGTGCTTACATTAGACTGTCCTGACTTTATTTCTTCTTTTATTATTTGTAGTACTTATCAGTATCTAAAATAGAACGTATTACATTTATTTGTTTATATGTCTACATATATATGTGCTTGTGATCTTTGTAGAGTCACATACATGCCACTGATATGTGTGGAAGTTAGAGGACAACTTGCAGGAGTCCCTTCTCTCTTCCTACCACATGAGTTTCAGAGATCAAACTCAGGTCATCAGACTTGGGAGTGAGCACCTTACCTACTGAGCCATTTCACTGGCCCGGCAATAGAGTTAGTTTATTTTTCTGTATTGTTTAAACCCTATCTTCCTTACATATTCTACTCCTGTCTTTTAGCATCATTTGTTGGTGAGCTATATAACATGACATGTTTGGTTTTCAGTGTTGTGACAGCACTGGAATAATTCTGAAGCTTAAATGTTTGACTTCCAGTATCAGGTTTCAGTCCATGCGTGGCTGGCTGAGTCCATTGTAGTAAGCCTGAGGCAAGGCAGAGTGTCATGAGGGGCGCATGCTGCAGAACCAAGGAGTCCACCCTGTCTTGGAAAGGAAGCAAAGTGAGACAGTGGAAGGAACCTGAGTCTCAAAGTACTCTGATGACTTATTTAAATACTCTCTTAACTTATTTATCTCCCCTATACTTTAACCTCATCCTTATAGTCTACTACATTTTAAGTCTTTCCTTCGGGCAGAGTCCTCATCTCATTAACTCTGAAAACCTTGACAGACAAGTTCAGAAATGTGCTTTAATGACATCCAGGGTGTGTCTCATCGAAATCAGTCTGACCATCTATATTAACTATTACCTTGAGGAAAATTTTTCCATGCCGTGGCCCAGCCCTGGTAATTCTGCTAGCAAAGAGAGAGAGACAGACACAGAGACAGACAGAGAAAGAGGAGGGTGGAGAACTAATGAGTATCTGATTACATTTGTTATTGAGTAAATGAACACATAACCAAATGTGTGAACATATGTTCTAGATATATAGCTAGCTGTTGTCCAAACGGACACTTGTTAACTATGATTGAATTAAGGCATGAGCACTTAATGTAAAGTCCATTTACTTCTACGAAAATATCCTTACCACATTCAGTATGACCTGGCTGCAATTTTCTCTAGCATCTTTATTTGGGAATGTGGCTAAGTTGCTTTTTCATTGTGTAAGTTAATGTTTGCATGTATTCCCAAGAGTAAATTCAATGTAAATCTATTTTACTGATTCTTTTTTTTTTCCTTACAGGAAGCATTTATTCTTTTGAATGCTTGTGAACACAGATTTTAAATTGGTCAAATTGCAGAACTTTGAGAGGGAGAAGGATGAAGTGACTTGAAAACAAGACTGAGTATTAGAATATTCTACAGGGCCATACTTTAATAATTTGAGGATGAGGGATGCTAGCTTGAAAAATGTAGTGTTCTTGCCTATTGAATATGTATATGACTTGCTGTTTTTCTTTTCTTAGTTCTGATTGTAAGATTATTTGTTTACTTGATAATGTTTTTAATGTTTCTTTTTTTAAATTTAATGTTAACAGTCTCTCTGAACTCATGATTCTGTGGAGCAGTTCACAGTGTATGGATGTTGTTTTGTAGCTAAAGGTGAATCTAGTATGAGAATGTTAATTAGAGTATAGGGCAGGCTTAGGTTAATCAGTTTTGGATCAGAATTTCTGCTTCAGAATTAACCTGGCACATTCTATAGTGCTTCCTCATCAGCAAAGTAGGTGTCAGTTTCACATGTAGATCTGTGTTGAGAGATGGCACATGTCAAGCATGAAGGAAGACATGTGGCACTATTTGTTTTGTCTTCTTCTTACCATGGAAGCATTTGCAATATGACAGAATGGTTTTCTTAAAACTGCTAATAAAAGGATATAAGGAACATTTATTTAGTGACTAAGGTTAACTGAGGTGTGTTAAGTTACAGAAACAGAGGGAAATTGGACAGCAAAAAAATTATCCATGTTTTAATGCATAAAATTTGATACTGTAGATATCTTTGACTCTTCCAATATAGTCAGTATGTCACCTAAGTAGATATATGTTAGTGCACAAACCTTCTCATTTCCACCTCCCTGCTTATCAAAGCATCTACTTTCAGAATTAATACCCCACTTTTTAAAACATATCTTGTAAAATTAATTGTGTTCAGAAGTATAATATTCTACTCATATGTTCTGACACATAAAAGGCTCTTTGTAACTTTGATCTTGTTTATTTTTCTTGTGCTTTTTATCTTCAAGTATTCTATGGCATTTATCAGTTCTTTCATAGTTGGATGAAATCTTGGTTTATTTTAAGATGATTTCTTACCGCTTCCATTCCAGTATGTATACAATATTTTCAGACCACAAAGACACCTACAGAAACTTGAAAGAACATGGAGTTTTTGTGGGTAACCCTATAATAACATTGTTCTTGGCGTTGTGATGAACTATATGTGTGCATCAGCTTTGAGCCATAATGATTGCTTTAATTATTTTAGACTTAGAATATATTTAATCTCCTGGATTGATGAAAGTTTAGAGTATAAGGGAAATAAATTTTCCCCATAAAATGTTTTATGAAGGATTTTTTCCCTCTCTGTGGTGCTTCCTGATAGACGGATATTATGTCATATGTAATTGGATTGATGCTCAGTCTGAATACTTCTTTTTCTTCTTGCCAGCATGGGGTAACCTTGGAAATGTTCTGAAGAGTCAGAGTAAAATTTCTGAAGCTGAAAGCGCCTATAGAAATGCTCTGTACTACCGTAGCAACATGGCTGACATGCTGTATAATTTGTGAGTATGCCTTGCTTTCTTTCATGCTTGAAACCTGCTGTGAGGGGGACTATTGAGTTAACTAATGAAATGGAGATGCTAATATCTATTTTTCTAAAATAGTTTTTCCTTCTTTCTTTACTATTTTTTCCTTTTAATTAGACCTCTGAGAGCAGTAGATGAATGGTATTTGGGATTTCTCTGTTAGATGCCACATCATCTATTCATGTGTGTTGATATATGGTTGAATTCTTTTTTTTTTAAGTACTATGTCATATATCAAAAGTTGGTATAAGTGTGTTCTACTTAAAAATATATGTTCTACTCAAACTTAGATGGATAAATATAAAATTTCAAAAACAAGTCTTTAATGGGATATATAAATTTCAATTTTATATATAATTGAAATTTTAATTATATTTACTTTAATGGGATATATATATTTCAATTATATACATAATTGAAATTGGATATTAAATGACACATTTTTCTTCACTAAAATCAACCACGGAGATAGCAGAAAGATTGTAGTTGTTAGGTACAGTTTCTTCTAGTTTAGCATGTCCAGTTCTTCAAAGATACTCATGATTACATCAAAGCTTGTGTAATGTCGTAATTCAAAATATCCCTCAGTGTTGAGTTTGAAAAAACTCAAGTGCTAAATTATCTTTGTTTTTTGGATGGAAGGTTCCAGGAGGCATTGTGAGTTTGGATTGGTAAATGAAAAGTGAACTTGAATCCTTTCCTTTATCGTTTACATTTAGGCAATTTTTATATGTAATAGAAATTTAGCCTAAACACGAAAGAGTATCTAGTTTATTGACTCCTCTTGCTAGGAACGTTTGGGGTTGATAGGGGCTGAGAGAGTTAGATCCAGGTGCTTGGCACTGTTGGGGAATTTGATACAGTTTTCTTGTTCTGGCTTTTCTCTGTTTTCAGTGGGACTGTGGGGCACGCAGGAAGATGGCTCTTGGTATTTTATGCATGGAGCATCCTGGCTCTTCTCAGTCTTGCTGGGAAAGAATATCAATGTCACATCCTCTCCTCACTCTGCTGGCTCCCAGTTCTCCTCTGTCTTTTGGTCTGCATTTACCCTGGAAAGAATTTCTGAATGACTCAATGAAGCCATAAGCTTTCATGGATGAAATTCTAGGAAGAGTGGGTAGGACTGTGGAACATCTATGCAGGCTCTTTCAGGGTTACTATGGCTCCACAGAGGACCAGTTACTTATAAGAATGTAACCACTCTTAGTTAGAACTTGACACCTACTTTTTTTGTTTGTTTGTTCTGTTTTCTTTTGTTTCCAAAACAGATTTCTCCGTGTAGCCTTCATTGTCCTAGAACTCACTTTGAAGACCTGCCTGGCCTCTAACTCACAGAGATTCACCTGCCTCTGCCTCCTGAGTGCTGAGTTTAAAGACATGTGCCACTATCACTGGCTTGTAATTAAACTCTTAACACAAAAAAAAGGATTTTATTTTTCTTCGTCTTTTGTAGAAAGCTTAATTTAATAGCATTCCTTTTTGTCACTAGAAACTTGAGTACTTTTTCTGTCATCACTCAAGAATCTTCTTATGGGTGCTTTGTAATTCTACCTCGTGTATGTGATGCTCAGTGATAAAGAGTTTGACCACTAAATATGTTATCCTAGGTTCCATCCCCTATAGCAAAGGTGGGAGAGATATTTCATGTTGAACAATTGAAATTGATGAACTTATTGGAATGAAGTACCTTCTTTTCTTAATGAACTTTAGAGGACTTAGAGAATCCTAAGTTTCTGTTCTGTCCATTTCCTACTTACATTGTAAATCATCAGAAATAATTGTAGCAGTTAACCTTTTTATTAATAATATAACCTGCAGACATTAGTAACTTCATTAAACTTTAAGTAGAAATTGATGAGAAATTAACTCCCACTGGCCAGATACAATATGATTCCTGGTTGTCAGAATTAATCTTGTCATTAATTCCTGTAATTTTATTTTTATACTAATATTTAAAAATACTAACCAGTAACTTTAAATAGCACATCTGAATATTGATTCATGTAAGAATAGACAGCAAACGTTGATTTGGAAAATATTAAGTAAGATGAGCCTGAGTGATCTGGAGGAGTTATATCTGAAGTTGCTTTAAGAGATTGCATAAGTGTGAGCATTTTCTAGGATCAGGAATACTTAATTATATGAGAGAGCACAAGGTTATATTCTCTGTTTATGATCTGGTGTTTGAAAATTTCCAGTGTTCCTTCTGCCATAACAGTTGTATGTGCTTCTCCTCCTCCTCCTCCTCCTTGTCCTTCTCCTTATTTTTCTTTCATAGAACACATTTATATAATACATATAATATATACATGTAACACATACAATATATACCACAGTTTCTCCTCTCTCTACTCCTTCCAGCTTAGCTCTTTTCTACCAGTTTCCCCTCTCTTTGCTCTTTCTAGTTTAGCTCCAACTGGGATGGATTAAAAGAATGAGGAAGGCAGGACTCAGAGCTGTTCTAAGATCACACACAGAGTCATCTCTCACCTGAACACATACTCTTCTAGCTGTATCATATCTACATCTCCACATTTGCTTAAATCTAAAAGGATATACAATGAGAACTGAGCACACAAGAAACCTCCAATATGCACATCTCAAAATTCAAAAAGAGCCCGTTGTGGTGGCGCACACTGGTAGGATTTGCTGAAGGAGGCAGAGGCAGGAGGATCACGAGTTCGAGGCTATATATTCACTCATATAGACATATAATCTAGGATAAACCTACTAAAATCTTTACACCTAAAGAAACTAATCAAGACGGAGGACTCTTGCTAAAATGCTCAATTCCTATCCAGAAAGGCAAAGAAGATGGACATCAGAAGAAGGAGAAAACAGGGAACAAATCAGGAGCCTGACACAGAGGACCTCTGAAAGGCTCTGCCCTGCAGACTATCAATGTAGATACTGAGACTTATGGGCAACCTTTGGGAAGAGTGCAGGGAAAATTAGGAAAGAAGTGGGAAATAGTAAGATCTGGAGAGGACAGGAACTCCACAAGGAGAGCAACAGAACCAAAAAAATCTGAGCACAGGGGTTTTTCCTGAGACTGATACTCCAACCAAGGACTATACATGGAGATAACCTAAGACCCCTGCACAGATGTAGCCCTTGGCAGTTCAATATCCAAGTGGGTTCCATTGTAATAGGAACAGGGACTGCCTCTGACATGAACTGATTGGCCTGCTCTTTAATTACCTCCCCCTGAGGGTGAAGCAGCATTACCAGGCCACAGAAGAAGACAGTGCAGCCACTCCTGATGAGACCTAATTGACTAGGATCAGAAGGAAGGAAAAGAAGACCTCCCCTATCAGTGGACTTGGGGAGGGGCATGCATGCAGAGGGTGGAAGAAGGGAGGGATTCGGACAGGAGGAGAGAGGGAACCACAGGGGGGATACAAAGTGAATAAAGTATAATCAATAAAGAATTTAAAAAAATCCAAAAAGAAACAATTAGAATCACCTTCACAGACAGAAATAAAATGTTTGGAGTTAAATCTAATAGAATGCAGCAAGTTACTGTTTAATCACAGTTACCGCCTTTATGAATTTACTAACTGTGTGACATAAAAACATGGTTGGATTTTTAGTGGGATGGCATGCCTGGACCAAGATTTGCTTTCAATTAATGCTGAGGAAAGCATTTAAGGATCTGTTAATTATTGCATCTGATATCATTTAACTCCATGTTTGTAGACAGTAGCCATGTATTGTGAAATTTAAGGCAATGTTTCATCCATTCTTAACAAAGATAGCATGAAGCATAGCTCATGGTCACTTTCTTTTTCATATCTGAAAATCACTATAGTTGCATGTTTTACACAGGAAATTATTTTAAAAGAGTTTTAGCAGATTTGTGTTTGTATGTTGGCTTTTCTTTTAGAGTATAACGTATTTTCAGAGACAAAGTCCTTGAGTTGTTGTTCTGTGATTTACATCATCATGTTTCATAAATATGTAGTTGGCTTTCATTCTTTTAACTGTGCTATTCACTGATTTCTGAAATATAATAAATTTTTGGCTGAAAAGTAGGTGATGTCCTTTTATTGTTGGTATAGATTTGTCCCAGGCAGTCTTTTCTTTTAAGCAGGTAATTCAGTAAAACATTGAATATTTTCATTATTTATTCACTTTCAGAAGGCAGATAATAAAGTTAGTGCAGTATAATCATATTTTTATTATCTTACATAGTAGAGAGATCATGTTTGAGTATAATTGAGATTTTGCCCTTGTTCTGTGTTGTTAGAATCCAAGTATCCAATCTGTGAAGCTTGAAAAGGAAAAGGAAATTAACTTTTAGATTCATAGGAAGTAAAAGGAAAATATCAATGAATTAGAATTTGGAGAAGCAATGGGCAAGGATATGAAAAGATCTGAAAATCCTGGCAAGAGTGATATAGAGCAGAATAGAAAATCTCACGTGCAAACCTGAAAAGGAGAAAGGTATTATTATAAACAGATATATGGATGCTTAAAATAACACAGTAGTAAACATGTAAAAATTCTGCATGTACTTTCCTGGGAAAATACAGCATCTCAGTTTGTGCTAAAGAGTAAAAAGTAATCTAAGTCAAATACCTTGAGAAAGCTCAAGAAACATAATCAAAATTTTCTTAGAGCTGGGTGGTGGTGGTGCATACCTTTAATCCCTGCGCTCTAGAGACAGAGGCAGGTGGATCTCTGTGAGTTTGAGGACAGCCTGATCAACAGAGTGAGTTCCAGGACAGCCATGGCTATACAGAAAAACCCCATCTTGAAAAAAAAAGAAAAAAAAAGTTTCTTAGGAAAGAACCAAGTCAAGGTGCTTTTCAAGTGGCTCTGACAGATCCTCAAAGAAGAGTCAGAGTTCTGTCTTATTTTTAGGAAGCAAGATTTTACTGAAAGCAAAACTTGGCAAAATTACATACACACATACAAAAGAACAACCTGCCAGCTCCACCCTAAAATCAAAATAAGACTCAAACAAGAAAGAA